TAGCTAATGCAATCCGAACTGTAATATATGTAACATTATTGAGCGCGCCTCACGCACCACACAACTTTACGTTAACATTACGAAATAATTTTATTTTAACATACATACATGGATGTATCGCCTCAATTAAGTTAAGTGTTAAGCACGACGACGCTGGTCGGACCGTTTGTTACTGAGTGACGGCTGTTACTGTCACACGATATACTAAATAAACTATTGAAAATATAACAGTCTGTTTGATATGAATCGCTATGATGTCGGGAACCATGATTCATTAATTGTACTGTAATTAATTTTTAAATTATAATTTTTCTATTGTAAACAACCCTCGTCTTTTTATTTGGCTGTAAAAGTCACAGAGGATAAGGTGAGTTGGCATTTTATTGAGATGAGTTAAATTCTGGTGTCAAGCGATTCCACTGAGGCCAGAAATTAACTCTAAAAACATTACTGTATACTATATAAATTAAATAACTTGACTAATGAACATCTTTGTTTTACAGAAAAAAATACAAAGAAAAACACACAAAACGGTAAGAATATTATACAATTACTACACACTTCACTTCAATTCATTATAAAAATAAAAACCAATACTTGTATTTCATGAAATGTAATGTTACAAGTTAATTTAATGATGATTATCACAGACCTGTACTGAGTAATGAGGAAAAAATTATATCACACTGAATACTATTTACAAATAAAACATTATATTTAAGGAAAATTAATTTGTACTAATTTTCCATTTACTTTTGGCACAGGTACTATGGAAACCCGCGTGAAGTTCTGTTAGTCTACGTCATTATGTTTTAAAAGGTAATTACTATTTCTCTGTATTTCAACACCAAACTATGTTTCTAGATGATTTTTATGACAATTATTTTGATAAAAAGACAGCCTTAACCTTTTCGCCGCCAACAACTTCTATAGAAGTTCAGGATTTTCGTGCCGTCCACGCCACTACTTCTATAGAAGTTCATTGTATCTACCTACTATAAAAAATACATTTACGATACATAAAACATTTGTTTCTTTGTAATTTTGTAATATGGACACGACGAACTATTTTTTCTCATGCAAAACAGACTATTTTCTGTTTTAAAAAGGTAAAACATAAAAGGTTTCAAATAATTTTATATCCCGCACGCCAACGACTTCATATCAAGTAGGCCAGTGATGTGACGCGTAAGGAGCATTCATTAGAATCTTTATTTACTATAATATTTGTTTTCTTTTCCATCCAATAGTTTTTTGAATTCTATGAATAAAAAGAAATTCCGGTCAGTAAATAACGTATTACAATGCGTTTCAAAATTAATGTACATCTACCTATCAAATCATTTCATTAAAATTAATTATTATGTACTGAGGGTTTTCGATATTGCTAGACCCATCTCTACGTAATGGCAAAATGTCGAGTGACACTAGCGCCGTCAACTTCAATAGAAGTAAACCTGTGACGTCGTAAGCGCTTAGGCGTCAAGGTCATTGTGTCATAGTTCCGGGCGACGCGTGCACGCACGCAATCGCACTTAATCGATTAATCGCACGGCCTATACCTATAATTATTTTCATGATTATGAAATATCCAAATGATTGAGTCATTTTGATTCGATTACAAACTGTTTGGGTCGCGAAAAATTTGTGATCGACTCAGGTCTATATTTCTTCGCCGACACAGCTAAAAGTTTGCGAAACCGAGAGCCGCAACGAATAGGTATTTTATGACTACCTAATATCCATCAAACGTGCCAGTTTTTCATTTGCATTAAATGAAAAATAAGCTATTAAAGTTTAGTACATCTGTATTAAAATAGTTACTTACCATCCATTTCCAAAACTACACATATGTTGCCACTTTTAATCACTACAAACAATGTTCCTGATCGTGACCTGACGTTAGATTTTAAATGTAAACTAAAACCAAAAGCAAACCAAACTCGATAGAAAGAAAGAAAAGCATAGACAACTATTCCTTACGAAATGTATCGTGCTTTGAACGCCAATGACTTGATATGAAGTAAACAGACTACGTTATGAAATGAATAGTGAAGTGGCTAATGTTACGAATTATTATTATTATCTCTAGCAACTCTATGCATGTATCTTCATCTCTGATAACGGATACCCATTTTTCTTAGTATAAATGTTCATAAAATAAAACAAATTACCATTATAACTTAACAGTTTGTATTTTTAATTGTAAATTTGAGTACCAATTTAAATTTACACATATTTTTTTTCATTATCGACATGATGTTACCGCCATCCCTACTTTCGTACTATACATTTATTATACATTTATACGTTGGCGTACGGCGACACATCGTGTTTAGTATAGCTGGGCGGCGAAAAGGTTAACAGTAATTATTGCAAAGTAAAGTGACTTGCAGTCCCGATGTTCGTGTCATGTGAGATAACAATCTTCTATCAACTATAAAACATCTTAGTCACTTAGTGACATATCATTTATTTTGTCATGTTTAATACTATGTCATTTTTTTCATAAGAACAACTAAAATGATGATAAACTTCCTCCTGATGCCATCGTGACGGTTTTTACAAGCTCAACAGGACTGATAATAATTTTAAACTCGAAAAAAACACCAAAGTATGAAGAGTTTATTCAAAATGTATGTCATTATTGTTGCAGGTACGATAAATCTATACCACGGGTTGCGATAACGGCTTAATAATCTGTTTAGGTAAGTACTTAAATATAAATTACACTGATAAGATTACTCATAGATTGCAGAATAATTCGTCGTAAAGTCAGTTTAAAAGGCATATCAAATTAGTCTTCTGAATTAGTTTTTAATCGATTCGAAATGATGACAACACTGTTCTAGATGCCCCATGACGGTTTAACAAGCTCAACAGGCCTGAGATGACAGTTTATCTTAATCTAATAAATTATTATCAATGAAAACTAAATGTAGCTTGTCTTCACAGGTAATCACGTGGAGATTTAGTAAGAGTTACTACAACTACAGCTTCATAATACAACTATAAAAGGTACATTGTAAGACATTTAAAATATAATAAACATGTAGTAGTCGTTCATTTGGTGGTCATTTACAAAACTCTTTCATGCATGCAAACTAAATTTGTTTTACATTTGCATGTAGTTATTTACATTGGACATATTTTTATTTGCTTTGGTACATTTTTTTTAAATGAAAAACTAAACACGTTTTTAAAATGATGAACTATCACAGACCTGTTCTGAATTATTTTGAGGTCACTTTTATTTTTCCTGATTAAACTCATCATCATAAATTACAATTTATAGTTTTGTTCCCAATTGATTAATTGATTGTTTTCAATTTCAGGTACTATCCGAGTTGGGGCGATATTCAATGTGATTATTTTGTAGAACTTTTTAATACCTTAATAAATAAGCATATTCCATAATTTTGTTTTATTTTATTTGAGTATTTTGTAATGTGCAGTTCTTCCTGGGTTTACCTTAACATCTAGCTACTAGCTAGAGTCGTGGGTTCGACTCCCGCACGGCAGAACACAAATTGTTCCGGGTTTGGATGTGATGTGATTTTGTATAAATGTAAAAACTCACGACTCTAGAGAAAATCTACGTGTTACGAAATTAAAAAAACGTTTTGAAAAGAGAATGACGGACAAGGCCTACTCGGCTAATTAATCGTAGCGGAATGGTCACCCCATAGAGTAGGTCGGGTGACCATTCCCTCGACGACCGTCAACCGTACTAAACGTATTGAAAACTAGGTCGTAAAATGAAGTGTGCACTTCTGTTATTGCTAAGGAGATACAGGAAAAAGAAATGGAAGACTTTGGGAAGATAAGACGTTGATGCGCGTTGGGAATCAATTCGCAAGTTCTTGCGATGCGTAGAGGCAGCTCGCACATTTTTGCGATGCGACGTCGCATTGTCGCAGTTTTGTGTGAGGCAGCTCGCACATTTTTGCGATGCGACGTCGCATTGTCGCAGTTTTGTGTACGAGCCCTTAATGTGGCCACCGTGTGTCCTAGTAACCTAGTCGCTAGGTTACTCGCTCAGCGCTAAGCAAGTGACGTCCCTTGCTGCCTCGTTTACATTACAACGAAATCTTTGCTTCCCTCAGTTTCTGAATAATTTTAAATACATTCGTTCGCTAGTCTACATTCATTCGTTACTCATTGAAATAGATAAGGCTGTAAGTTTAAAGTAATATCGACACTTATTTTTTATGAAATTCAAATAATATTTTTGTTTTTAAGTCTATAACGATTTTTTCTAGAGTTCCCCTCACCCTCACTAGCATCTGCTAGCAGGTTTACCGGCGTTCCTGTGGGATAAAACATAGCATAGCAGACTATAATCTACCTCTATTCCAAACATCCCGATCCTGGATCCCTTCAACCGTTTTGACCCACTCACTGCGGTTATAAAATATACCTTTAGAATAATAATATTATAAAAAAGGGATTTTTTAATACCCGACTGTCGGAACGAAGGGTATTGTTTTTTAATCGACTTCAAACAAAAAAGGAGGTTCTCGATTTGACCTATGAGCGATTGGCTGAATCGATTTGATGCAGTTTTCAGAAAAGTATTTGTTAGACCTAGAAGAAGGGTTTAGTATATTAAGAAGTCGGTTTTTTTTAAACGTAGTTACAAAATAATCATTTAAAGAGTGTATATGGTATGATAAATTATTTAGTTGGCTTTTATTTTCCTCAGATTTTTTGATATTTAATTGCGAAAATATTAAGTTTTTCTGTCACCTAACTGCACGATATAGAGAACTATCGATACTTACCGAATTTTCGATGTGTCGTACATCCCTATCTGTATTAGTTTCGTTCACTCGTTCGTTCATCGATTCGGTTAAACTACTTCAACTGTTACGTCAAAACCTCAAGGCTGCGGCAGTGCGCATGTTTTACAAAACTAATTGGATTCCAGCAAAATAAATTAGTCTCACCACTTAATGCTGAGTTGTGCGGTGCGGCATTGTTCGCGGTATATCAGTAAAATGGTACCTGAAGTTGTATTCGTTTTGGGTGCGCCTGGCGCCGGCAAAGGAACGCAGTGCTCATTGATTTCTAAAGAATATGATTTTGTACATCTTTCTGCTGGAGATTTATTACGTGAGGAACGACAAAGACCCGGGTCCGAGTATGGAGAGATGATTGAAGAAAAAATTCGCAACGGCCAGATCGTACCCGTAGAGGTTACGTGCTCACTGCTTCACAAGGCCATGCAGAACTCCGGTAAGCAGCGTTTCCTTGTTGACGGATTCCCACGTAACAAGGACAACTTGGAAGGATGGGAACGTGTCATGTCCGACAAAACCAAGTTACTGTTTGTATTATTTTTTGAATGTTCCCCGGAAATTTGTACGGAGCGGTGTTTGGGTCGCGGTGCGGCCGGCAGCGGCCGATCAGACGACAACCTAGACAGCCTCAAGAAGAGATTCAACACTTATATCAATGATACCTTACCAATCATTAATCACTACGACGAGCTGGGGCTTGTGCGCAGGATCAACGCGGAAGTCTCTCCAAATGATGTATTTCAAGATGTGAAGGTTGCATTTCAGGAAGTGGGAATGCAACAAATAGCTAATTAATTAAAGAATTTATCATAATAAGTAGGTCAATCGGGAACTGTTCATTGCAAAACATTGTCTTGTGTAAGGTAATATTGGATGTTATTTAATAAACCTTGAGCTTTAAAAGCTAAGCGAAGCTTGGGAAACATGTAGCACATACCAATTATTTATTTTTTTAATGTAAGCCTCTACATTGACTCAATGTCATTTAGAATATAGGTATCATTGTCATCAGCAACATTTATTGTAAAGTGCACCTTGTTGAGATTACCTTAGTCACATAAGTTTGACCTTCACAATCTTAAAATAAATTGTATTATCAAAGTTTTTGCTGAATGAGTTAAATCATGATTACTTAAAACTTGCTTAAAATAAATATTTAAACTGCCAACTCATCATTATAGGTGTAACAAATTGATCATAGATATCAAATTTATAAATTGTATTATATTATTTTTTTTATATATTTTTAATCCATTGGGTCTGGTTCACTTTGTAAATGAAATACATTTGTATTACTTTATTATTTTCTTTTTTTTTTCAATTCAATCTTGTACCTATTGGCTTGTAACTGGTAGATAAACAATAATTTTATCAAAAGTAACACATTTCCAATGCTTATCAAGTAGAGGTCTTCACTGATATAACTGGTTGCATTAATCTGAAGTAAACTTCAATACTTAGTTTCAATAATATTTAATAGATTTTGAGGAAATGTATATAAATACCACAGTGAATATCTCTCAAATATGATAGTTATAATAATGTAACTTTGTCCTTTAATCTGTCAAACACCAAGCGGTCACCGGTGACCGCAACCTATTGTTCTTTAATTGTGTCTATAAATACGGTACTCGACGAGTTAACTCGTCGAGTACCGGTTTGTTGTTTGACAGTTTAACTTATTTCCATGCATATTGCAAATTGATCTACAATACTAAAGTTTATAATTTAAAAATCAAAGCTTATGGTATAGATAACAAAATCTAAGGTGGGTAACAATGTATTACTGTAAAATTGGGTGAATAGGATCGAGAGGTGAATATGGTCAGAAGAGGGCTGGATAGGTACTGGGAAATCCTTCGTAGTATCATTTTATTCATCACTTAGTACCAGGCAAGATAATGGCCAAATGTCGACACATCAAATATATAAAAAAATACACCCCATGTTACAGTATATTTAATGCAATATTACACTTACTAAGATACAAGTGCTTATTAACATGTAGGTGTTAAATACATATTTTTATTTTTAGTTGTTTGTTATAGCCATTTTACAATTTAATGAAGTGTTCATTGTCTTAGCTGTACCTGTCTTGAAATGTGCATTATGCAACATTCCTCAACTTCATATTTCTAGCTAGCCCAATGTGAATCTGTGTATAATGTTGAAATCTAATGTACAGTAGTTAATGTGGATGTGAATATAATATTTATTGATGATATTTGGTTTTTATTATTTTTCATCAAAGAGAGGATGAAGCCCCATCATAACAATATCTATTAACCCTTAAAGTGCCTGATGCTACTTGCTAGTGGAGGTTTGACTTATACCATTTTAAACTATGCAGTTTGAAAATCATCGAATGACTTTTCCCGCCTCGGTGAGGCGGGAGGGAGTGTCAGACTCTTGCTGACTAAAAATCACCCTGTTCCTAATCACCGTGACCTTCGAGCCGGATCCCGGCGGCGATAACCCGTTAAGTCGTCCGCGGCTCCGTATCGGCATCAGCCCTATTGGACCCCATCCGTGGTGGTCTGATGGCACTGTGAGACGCGCGCGGAACGTGACGCGCCGTACGCTGGAATCTGCTTCTGGTCGGGTGGTGAGCTACCCATGCTCGCTGTCCGTAGGCCCGTGTGGCCGGAGATCGTCCTGCAATCCCCGACGCCCGAATATCATTCGCGACGGCTGGGCTGTGAGGAGGCAGCGCTTCGCTGCCTCACGCGCCACGCCTCCTCCTTAGCTAGCATGACTGCTTCGCAAAATGTGGAGACGGCAGCCCAGTTCTCCTCGCTCTGCATCATGGCCCGGACTATAACCGGATGCGAGAGGTAGCCGTCGACGATCACATCCCTGAGGGCACGGCGGTGCTTAGCCCACGCAGGGCATGCCTTCACTGTGTGTTCCATCGAGTCCTTAGGGCGGCCCTATCACACCCCTAGACACAGGTACCTCCCGAAGCTCCCATGTCTGGTAAGCACCTGCGTCAGGAGAATTGCATGCATGCTTATTTCTTGGAGTAGTTGGAGTATTAATTCTAGGAGGTTGGTTTGAATTAGTGGCTATGATGATGGTTATTATTATCATACAATCAGGCCATTATTCGGGATTAACATTCCATCACAGCCTTTTATCCCCAAAGGGGTAGGCAGAGGTGTACATTACGGCACTTAATGCCACTGTACAATGTAACACCCACTTTTCATTATTTATGTTATGATTCCCATGTAATAGGGGTGAACCCATATACCGGACACAATTCCAGACTCCGTGCTACTACAGAGATTTTTTTTTAAATAGCTAGGTAGTCTTAACAGCTAGGTAAATAGGCACGGTACCTACTTGAAAAGGCAAATACTTGTCTCACTCACGGCATACCTATATCTAAATACAAAGACTACATAGTTATAAAAAGAACTGCATCAACCAACTAGTTAGTAAGCGATTTCCTGAGGGTTACGTATGAGCCATGATACACAGCTGTCTAAAGATGGTACACGATTCGTGACATTATTGCGATGAAATAAAGACGTTATTTCATTCACATTAAACTATGATGTGTATAAATTATAATACATGTTGTTTATTATGTATAATGTAGGTATGTTAATAACTGTAAATATGTACCTACCGACGACATATCGGCGTAGCTACAGGAAACTGAAACTTTGTATGTGTTGGTAAATAGGTACCTATTTATAAATCCGCTTAATATTGTACTTAAATGCTGCATTTAATTGCATAATGTTAAGCGGATTTATTAATTTTTCTTCTTTGTTTTAAAGTAAAATTGAATCGAATTCGTTTGACTTCATAAAGTACAAACTCATGGTTTTATCCCATCAAGGTATGCTCTAAAGCAGAAACCACATTTTCAGACAGGTTACACGAAGGCATAGTATAAAGAACTTTATACTATGACGAAGGTATCGCTATATACAACTATCTAAAGTCGTATCAAAATCGGTTCAACTAATCGCGGTTTAATGTATCTAATATAGAAACACGTTTGTACGACTCTACTAGACGCGGATATGATGGCTTATACTGATAGAAATGTGAGTCAGCACGTTTGCCGAAAACTTTGTTGGTAGAAAATATTGTTCGTGCCCCCGGACTATGACGCGCGGCGGCAACGTGTAGTTTTATTGTATTTCAGTAATCACAAAAATAAACGGCTTTTCCCGCGTAAAGCATGCGTTCAAAGGTTGGCAGAAACTTTACAAAAACTATAGTAATCATAGTCCCATAATTTGGGCAGAGGAAATTGACTGAAAAGTTTTCAAATATTATTAGTAGGTATTTTATGGTAAAAAACGAATTTTCTTGTGCGAAATGTTTGCCCTTCACAGGACCCCGCCAAGGCACGCTAATCCACTGTTTCTATCCCTAGTAGGTACCTACATAATGCTAGCACTGCGCGCCGCTGTCAATGGTCATATAGGTACTTTGATCTCAAATGTAAGTAATCCCACCTTAGATCCAATTTTATATGAAGAGAGGTTCGATAAATGTAAAAACAAAGCGGTAGAGATGAAGAAACGATTACGAGAATTCAACAAATATGTAGATAAATGGATTGACCCCAGACGATAGGAAATAAAATAACCGTTATGATGACGAACCAGACGAACAGACGTCACCTCGTTTAGCTAATATTAAAATTATATTCATCGCTTTACGAAAGTTAACAGAAATGTTTAGTTAACACAACAGATTTACGTAGGTCGGTAGTCGGTACTAGTTATGGAGTCCCAGTCCCACATACCCAACAGGGAACTAGCCTAAAACGGGTTGCAGATCAAGAGTTAAGCTAGCTCCACCGGGCGCAGGAGAAGGGCTGACAACGCCGTCTTCCGGCCCCCATGAATGGGTCCAAGGGCGAAGTACTTGGGGAAGTCTCGCCTTTGAGGCGATGCACGTGACTACACATTACTACGTGCAGGAGACGAGTGCCCGAACGAACGAGCCGGTAATGTAATGCGGATGAATTTGGACTCCCGTTACCCCGCGCGCACGTGCGAGGAGACACTGGGGTGGTTTTAGTCGGTAACGGCCTTTCCCCGGGCGGAGGCAGTCCATGAGGATTTCCCCCCATAAAAATATTTAGTGTAGCTTAGTTCGCATAGCGACGCATGAAAACATCGGACAACTATAGTCGCGTCCACGCGTCCCAGGGACACGAATTACAGTCTTGGATAACGCAACGAAAGTCGAAATAAATCAGAAGATATTAGAGGACAAGAAAAAACTATAGTTCCCAATTATTACAACTGTTACTACTCATTACTGTATATATATTGCACAAAAGTTTGTAAAACTGTTGGCTATACGAACTAAGCTACACTAATTTGGCTTATCTTGGTCTGCAACCGGCTTAATAGCAAATTGCCAAAGACGGACAATTTTGTTTTATATTTGATGGGTCGACGTTTGACCACTATCTCGCCTGGTGGTAAGCGATGATGCCGTCTACGATAGAGCACGTCGACCCATAAGTAACATACTCACTCAGGTCTTGAAGACACCCCGGTTATACCCTTCAGGAAATACATACTCTGGCAAGGAATTCTATTTTTTAGCAGTACACATAAGGAAGCTTGATGCGAAGCTTCGTGGTGTGGGTGGTCAGTAAGTTTTTAGTCAGTAAGTCTGACACTCCCTCCAGAGCAGTCATTCGATGATATTTTTTCCCTCTTAAAAAAATACATTAAACAATAATACCTACTCCAGTGCTATCACAGTGATCGCAGGTAATGAGAGAAATATATTCTGATAGTATTATGAACTGG